TTGGGGAAAGTCGAACTCCCCAGCCCGACACACACACAGTAGCAAGCTCATTGGGGCGTGGTCCGTACTGCGCTCAACAAAGCCTTGGTTCAAAATACCGGAGGATACGTGGAATAGGAACGAAGGGCCCCGCGCGATGCTGGATGACAGAATCTTATGGGCGGCGAGCCCCAGACAGAGCGAGTGACGACGATCCTGGATGGCCTATGCACGAGGAGCGATCAAGAATTTCAAATTCTGAGTGACTAACAATGTTAGAGGCCGGCCGCGCGTCGTTGTACCGGTCAGAGGACGGTGTAGGGGCATTTTTGCGCGTGGAAGGGCGAACGGAGATGAGCCTGTGAACACAGGCAGCGCTGTTCGATGCGCGGTGTGCATCGACACCGGCGTCCCAGCAAGCAACTTGAAGCAGGACAGAGGCGGTGCTAGTGAAGCACGAAATCCCGTCTCTTCAGGTTGGCCTCGGCGCCGCCGGAGGTGCGCCAGCCACTCCCTGGCTCCAAACACTCGAGCAAAGAAGCCTACATAGACAGAGAGCACCAAGAGTAAACGGCGAGCCAGAAAGCCATTAGGGATGGCGAGGAAGAGGTGCAAGGCAAGGAGCGACGTTTGAGTAAGAAATGCACTCGGGCGAAGTGAAGGGATGCAAGGATGCTCCAACGCTCCAGAGCGGAGGAAGGAGGAAATGACAAAAACCACAAGAAAAGAACTGACCCTTCTCCGGCCCCAAATCGAATCGCCATCCCGTTGGCGTGGCGCAGCGACGGCGCGCTTGACTCGCCAGAAGGGCGCAAAGTCGTGGTGGATAGCCAGGTAGCAGGAAGGTCGACGTGTGCTCTTGGGCATAAGGGATAACGAGGGAAAAGGCGAACGGTGGGGAGGTAAGGGAAAGGGCAAGAGAGAACTTCAAAAAGTAAGGCAGGTGAGAAGGGCAAGCACGCGAGCGGTATGCATGCGGCTTGAATGTGTGGCGAGGGGAGGGGAACGGAATGGGGGGAAAGGGGACAAAGGAAAGAAAAGAGGACGAAGGTGAATGGGAAAAGGGAAGGAAGAAGGACGGGAACACGCGCCCTCACAAAGTCCATCTACAAACAATGTATCCATCGTTGCGCCTGCCTCCGTTCTGTGCAAATCGATTGAGACATCGGGACCGTCGATGAGCGCGAGAGCGCGTGTGGGGAGACGAAGAAGTGGCACAGTGCACATTCCCGGCGCGGAGAGCCTGCGTGAGTGGCAGCAGCTCCTTGTCGGAACGTCAGCTACGGGTGTGAGTATATGTGCGACGAAGAGTAAAGCCAGGAGGCAGCCGGCCAATGCGAGTGCGAGGAGCGCTCAGCGGCCAGCACGCGGGAGTACTTGCTGCTTTCGGGGCTTCTGCAGCGGCTACGGTTGAGTCTTGGGAAAGCTTTTGTGCTGGGGATTGTGAAGTGTGGGGCTGCCGGGCCACCGTGACGCAGCGCTTACTTGGGAGACTGGTGGTGGATGAGGAAGATCGCTGGATGTTGTTATGTGTTGTTCCCTATTGTCAGTGGTCACACGCGATCAATGATGATCCGATGCCGGTCCGCTCGCCGGTCAATGGAAAGAGTCCCAAAAAAAAGAATTACTTTCCGACGCGGCGCCATATACAGAAGAGCAGCCGCGTTGGGAGTCGAACCCACCCTGGCCACGGGAAGTAGAATCTGAAGTGGGTGATCTCCGCGATCAACGAGGGGTTGGTTCTACTCTTGTCATATGCTTTGGCCTGAATCTAAGTATCCAGCCAGAGTAATTGGTGCAATCCCAAGTAACTCGTAGAATCCAAGACACACGATTGCCCAAAAATCAAATTCAGTCCAGAAGCTCAGCAACCCCACGATGGGTCTGGTATCAACTAGGTAGACTTACAAAAGGGGAAAAACACCCATTGTCAACACAGAAATACCTCGGTAGGAATCGAACCCACATTGCCCGTTGACGTGCGAGGGTGAGAGGATTTGATCGCCACGATCAACGAGGGCTTGCGGTTTGGAGTTGAAGTTATGCAGGATACACTCGATTTATTGTTCTTCACGCATTCCGGATGCATGCGCACAGAAATACCTCGGTAGGAATCGAACCCACATTGCCCGTTGACGTGCGAGGGTGAGAGGATTTGATCGCCACGATCAACGAGGGCTTGCGGTTTGGAGTTGAAGTTATGCAGGATACACTCGATTTATTGTTCTTCACGCATTCCGGATGCATGCGCGGAGCTGGCGCGCAGAATATTTCCGCCGATGGAAGCAATGACAGTCAAGGAAATACAAAAAAAGAGACACCGCAACTAGGTACGCCCTCGGCAGTGGAGTCGAACCCACACAACCCGCTGTGATCATCGTCAACGAAGGCTGCGTATACACTGGGATCTCGGCATCCCAGTCGTGGATGCGCATTAGGTGTTGAGGGAACAATATTTTGCAATGCGTCGAGAATTTGAGTCGTCCGGTGCCAGCTAGAATATGTGATGTGCGCTAAACGTGGAAGTCGCAGAATTTTGGAGGTACTCGAGCGTGTACGCAAAAAAGGTAGGCCGCTATGAACCTGTATTACGCCCCCGGGGAGAGTTGACCTTCGACAGAACCATATATCGTTCGCGGATTTTCCTCCGACAAGCTGTGAGTGATCAGCCAGTGTTCAACGAGGGCTTGAGGTGTATGGCTTGCGTGGAGCCCTATGCATGGACGATGACGTACCTCAGACATCGTTTATTACATCGGATGTCCCGAGGATGACACACTCCGGAAAAAAGTAAAACTTGGGGTCCCTGAAGATGTATCTTAAACTTTTAGTATTGGTAGCGATATAAGCAGGGCTAAAATTGTAACAGAAATGTAGCATATCTGGGGCACTGGAAGGGTTACTGAAACAGGAAATTTCGGGAATGGTATTTGGCCACCCAAAATGTTCCGTATCAGGTGCAATTTCGACTTGACAGAAACTGCTCCTGAAAATTTGAGTTTCAGGGAGCAGTTTATTGTCCACTAAAGACAATAGTTCCGGTCACAGTTTCGGATGTTGCCGAAACTATTGTTTTCAGTGACTCCACCCTGAAAACTTTTCGTGGCCTGCACTCACAGAATGCATTCAATAAACACTGTGTTCAAAACTCAACAAGCGCTGGACACTCGACGAATAGTCTACATAGTCACATCATGGGTCAAAAGAGGGAAAAAACTCGATAACCAGGCAATGCCCTCGGGGGAGCCGAACCCCCAACGCCCACTTGTACTATTATCGCGAAATAATCGGACGGTGGGCAGTCTATCATTCACCATCAACAAGGGCTGGTGAAAACTTAGTGCTATTGCATTGTCTCAAGGCTTGAATGCACAAGAATCAAGTCAGCGGGTATACGTTGCGACACATTTTGGGATTTAGAATATCCGCCGAGCACGGGAATCTGCACGCTCAAACGTTGTGGATCGAACCAAGTCACAGCCCAAGCAATTGGGTTGCGATTAGAGGCATTGCCGAGAAGCCCGGGAGGTCTATCAAGCAACTGTTCCCTTGGACCATACTTAGACTCGAGATTGATGCATGCATTAGAAACTTGGCAGGCGCGTTGAGAAATCGGGGTGTGGTCGAGGGAGAAGGTTCAAGAGCAGCGAGTTGGACTGTTCAGAATCAAATGGAGTTTGAAGCGCGACATCCCCGATTCACGTCCACTGCTGCAACACAAAAAAGAAGGGGAGAATGGTATCGACTGCGGCAACACGGGAAAGGAGCGGAGCGGAACAGAATGTATACTACACGTCGAAGTTTCGAACGTCCTTGGAGGGAATCAAACCCTCCCACCTCACTGTACTATGGGTACCCTAGGAAGCGATGATAGTCTGTGCGTGCTCATCTCGATCCGCGAAGGCCTTCTCTGTACTTCTGAAACCCGAGTGCGAGCCAGTAACCTTTCGGTCGATTGCAAGGATACTCATTCTTTGAACTCGCAACCCGCGTCAGTTCGGAACGAAAAAAAAACATATTGCTTGGGCCCCGTGGAGCCAGAAAAAATAATCAACTTGAGATCTGGTATGCCCCGGATGGGAGTCGACCCCACCCTGCCGACAACTTAGGAGACTCGGACACAGAGCTATATCTGCGGTAGGTCACAGTCGACGAGGGCCTGTTTAATGAAAGTTCGTACCTGTGCAGCGTCCAAAGAAGCTTCGAATATTGTGGTTCCAACCTAATGCCGTGGGATTGGGCCTCTTCAAGGCGGATGGCTGAACCTTCGGGGTTTGTGTCTGTGATTCTGTCTACTTTGCCCAATAAGCATGTCTTTCTTTTTTCTTTGGGTTGTGTATCAAATAAATAACACCCAAATTTTGGCCTTCAATTGTTTGTTCCATTCCTTGGCTTGCAGCTTAATTTCTTTGGCAAGTCTGGTATATTGCCAGAGAAACTCAGAAGGTGATAATGCATCCACATCATTGCATAGCCCGATCTTCTATAAACGGACCCATAGTGCAGTTGCGTGCCTCTTCAACACAGCGGTGTTTTCGATCTGGCCAGCTTCGTTTCAATTTTTGGACAGTGTCTACAACGCTGCAGATTGCAGGCTGAACATCAAGGTTAAAGGCAACTGGTGTAAGTATGGAGGATATGGTGACATTTTACGCAAAGTGGGTGACTTTCCAGTTCATGGCCTCGAATAAGCGGCGCAGTGCAGTCACCGCGCTGTTGAGTGTTCGATCGTTGGTTGAGTCTGCGCCATTTAGTACAGGGTAAGGGTTTCCTTACAGCCGCCGTGGCGCTCTCTTCCCGTTCGTACAATAGGGCGGGAAGAGAACACGATTGTTAGCCGCAGTTGGCCGCAGACTCGAGCCGAATCGAACAGGCAACACTTTAATATCTTGACACTTAGAGTACATGCGGACCCCACACCACTGAGTTTTTCACCACCTGCAGATGAGTTGAACAGATCACAGTATTCCTCTTTCTTTTTGGTGTCCTCCTTCCTCCGTTCAGCGGCACTCTTTTTCACCGGCCGTCTAGCTCAGTTGGTTAGAGCGTCGTGCTAATATTGCTTGGTTCAATTCCTGCATTCTTACGCGAAGGTCTTGGGTTCGACCCCCACGATGGCCATGTCGAACCAGAGCATTTTTGTCTCTCTTGGTCCGTTACATGTGTTCAATCACTAAGGGATCAGCACCCGATCCGGAAATAGCGTAGTTCGGCGACCACAGAAAAATGAATGGCTTTGCTCCTCTGCAGTGCTCTTCCGATACCTCTTTCAAAGTCTGCCTGCAGGATTTAAGAAAGTGTATTGCCGAGCACTATTTGTTGAATGTCATGGGCGCGAGTCGGCGATCAGTACTGAGGTTGGGGGTATATCAGAGCCTTTGTGTGGCTCTCTTTTCTACATCCAACCAAGCAGGGTTCAACCTGATCGTGATCGGGAATTTGGACAGTCAAATAGCTCAGTGCGGTGACCGCAGAAAAGTCGTGCGTGCAGTTGCTCATTGGCTGTGCTCTTTGGGATCGAAAGACACCCCATATTTGGGTGCAGAAGTTCGTCACATTTTTGACAAATAGTTGAACGTGGGCCAGATGATGGTCCAAACCAAGTCCAAACAGAACAGTGTTGTGTCGGCAGTTTTTGCCACAAATTCCTTCCGCCTGCATAGATACTGTACTAGCATGTCACGCGTCACCGTAGGTGTTCATTTCTCGGCAATCATGAAAGAATTCTCATAAATGGTAGTCCGGCAACTGCCGGACGCAAAATTGGGGTGTTTTTCACCTATTTAGGCCGCAAAAGTTGAACGTGTCACGCGTCACTTGAACACTCGGTCGAAATAGTACAGTATCATGAACTCTTCCGCTAAAATGATGACTGACTCTACTACAGCGAACTGGATTTTTTTGTGTTGTCTGAGTTCGGGTGTCCACATTGGATTATCTTGAGCCATCAGCAGGTGATAGATTGCGGACGGCATCTGACAACGTGGAATTGACACATACTATTTGTACATGTGGACGAAATGTGGGCCAAACGCAAGTTCCCTAGAGTAGCTAAACCTCCGGTTCAGCCAATTATTAGTGGAAGCTTCACCCACATTGCAACCACACCTCTGGCGGACAAAGTTGCCTACAAGGTTTGCCGACACTCTGGAACTCAGAGACATACTGTACTATTTCGACCGAGTGTTCACACCATGTCACGCGTCACCATAGGTGTTCACTTTTCCGAGTGTTCATTTCTCGGCAATCACGTCAAAATTGCCAAATATGGTAGTCCGGCAACTGCCGAACGCGAAATTTTGATGTTTTTCGACCTATTTGGGCCTCAAAAGTTGAATGTCACCGTCACGGACACCCAAAGTGTTCAGTTCAGAAGGTCGCGTCACGCGTCACCTGAACACTCGGTCGAAATAGTACAGTAGAGCCTTTAAGATTCCGCTGTGTTGGTTCCTCCTGCTCGTAACAGTCGAAAGAAAATGTACCATCGCCTTGACCATGCCCTGGCGGAACTCGAACCCACCCTACCCAGCAACTGGAGCACGAGGATGATATGGACTCGCACTGAAACCAGGTGATCACCGCGATACATAGGCTTATTGTACTCGCACTAGCGGGAACCCGTGCTACGCTACGGAGAGAGCCCAAATTTATTGAATGGCTGCACCCAGGAATTCCGTGTTAATGATGGACACTCGTCACCAACCTCCGGTTGGTTCCTCGTGTCCCTGCTTGCAGTTGCATACCAGGAATCACATCTGCCTTCCCGTTCCATGCCATTTCATGCTGCTATCCATTGGTATTGAGTCCCCCATCCCCAAGAACCCGTGGATGGAATTCTTGGATGACTGCACGTAGACATACTCAGTTACTTATTGACGGACCCTTGTCGCCAACCTCTGGTTGGGTCCCCTAAGTGCATATTCAGTGTCATTTCTTTTTGTTCCCTGGGCATCTGCCAGCTCTTTGCTCGTGAGTTTGAATCAAGCTTGGATGCTCTTGAATGAGACCGTTGGAGCTCGGTTGGAGCTCGGACTTGTTTTGCACCGTGTGCACGTTCTCATCCCGGAAATTTGCCAAAAAAAAACTCACCTGCTTTCCTACTTCATCCCGCTATCTTCCCTTGCTCCATTGCCGAGAGCTTGTAGGCTGGGATGTACAAAATGTTTAATGATGACTCGAGAGCAGCGGGGCGCCTGACCGAAGAACGCCGAATAAGCCCGATGTTTGTCCTCGCGTGCCCATAGCATGCCTACAAACCTGATTGGCTGAGGAGGCATTCCCGTGACCTTTGTCATTTGTATAAGTAGATATAAGCCGAGTGTGCTCCCATCAACTTGGGCTGACGAATGGTGCACCTTGGACTCACAAAAAACCAGTGTGGTTGAATTTCCGAAAATCGAACAAGATAATACATACTTGCCCACCTATTCCTAAAGAAACGAAATATCAAAATAGGCAGAGAGAAGGTTCATCCGGAGAAGAAAAATCCACTCGCCTCAAGCAATATGTCCTCGGCGGGAGTCGACTACCCCACCCAACATGATCATCGACTGCAGACCACCGGAAGTGGGTGATTACCGGAATCAACGAGGGCTTGCTGTTATCACAGTGACCGACATAGACTCCGTTGTCTTGGCCGAGTTAGCAGTCTTTTGTTGAACTTGAACAGTAGTGCCTGTACATATTCTGGCGCCCTGATCATGTTCGAAAATGGGCAGTGCCGGTGGAAGTATCTTCAAGGCCAACCCAAGGTTCAGTCTATCCATAGACAGATTGCCAATTTGTTCCCGTGGGTGGAGCATTTCCTGAGTGTAAGTGTAACACGGACGAAAAAAGCATACGTTTACCCCCATACGAGTCGTTCTCCCAACGCCCCCTTGTACACTTATAGCCGAATGAAATGTACGGTGGGCAGTCTATGCTTCATCATCGACAAGGGCTGGTGAAATTTACGTTCTATTGCGATATCCCAAGGTACGACTTTGAAAAACATTGAATCCTTCAAAACCTCGTCTTTTGGTGTCTTGATAGAAGTGGGATAACTTTTGATTTCCTATCGATAGAGCCCCCTTTGTTTTTTTGAGTCCCCAAAAAACATCTTGGCCTCATTGAATAGAGAATTGGAAGTTATCCAACTTTCACCAAGGGACCTTAGGACCGGAATTTTCACAAATCGCACCCCGCCACCAAAACAGGTGACGTGCCGGCCCAGTCCGTCCACGAGGTTACCCTGTTGTTGTCGTTTCCATCATTGTTGTGTCTGATGTTGTTCCTGTTTGCTCCTTGCCTAATCCGTCCGTTCGCCCGCCCACTCGGATTGTAACCTCTGTGGATGTTGACTGGTTAACGAGTCTACGGTGGCGCGGTTAACTACAGAGTCCAGACTAAAGGGTAACGGACGGGAGAATTCGGTGCCCAGGTATCCGATCATCGCCGAGAGCGCGGCCGAGATTTATACGTGTGTACGTACAATCAATCAATCTGTCTCTTTGCTTCCACAACAGCCACCACCTCCACACCGGACCAACACCGGACGGCAATTCTTGGAATCGCGAAGTAAGCACAATCTTCAACTGCCAATCAAACTAACGTGCTATGTAGGATGGTCTGCTGGCGCTGTGGGGCGCCGAATCCTGAGGATCGCCATGACTTGCCACCGACTCCAGGTCTTTCCCGCCTTTCTGCCATCGAGCATCTCCTTCAAACCAACCATCCCCCCGCGGACGCCGAAATACCTGTCCTTGACGATTTCACTGCGATTGCTCGACGGAGGATGGAGGCCCTCACTGCCCGTATTGAGAGCCTGACTCCCACTCTGAATCAGCTCATGGTACAGCGAGAACAGTTGGGGAACCGCATCCAGCAGTGCGCTTCTGCATTGTCGCCGATTCGCCGCCTGCCGCCGGAAATTGTGCAGGAAATATTTTCCTGGACCTTACCCCGCACCAGACGTGTCGCTGGAAATGCCCCGACCGAAGCGCCGTGGTATCTGGGACAGATCTCTGGGATCTGGAGAGAAATAGCCCTCGGCCTTTCGTCCCTTTGGAACGCTATCACCCTCGTGCACAACAAGGATTTCTCCTGTGTGAGAGCGCTACCCCTGGTTCAGACCCAGCTCATTCGATCCACCAATGCACCTCTTCATGTGGATTTCGAGTGGACAATGGAGGAGAGGGACGCCTCCGTCCTTCTGGCATATCTCTCCCTCCACTCCGATCGCTGGGGGTCCTTCCGTCTCATTTGTAGCAACAGCAATGCACTACTGGAGTTGATGCAGCCTGCACAAGGACAACTCGCTCGATTGGACATCCTGGAAATCGAAGACAGTGGTCGCGAAGAAGATGACGCCTCCGCGTCGTCGGCTCTATTTTCCATTGCGCCAAACCTGCGCCAGGTGCTCCTCACGAATGCCAGTTTTAATCGCTTTTCGCCGCCTCTCCAAATTCCTTGGCAACAGCTCACGCACTATCGGGGAGTCGATACAGTCGAACAACTTCTCCATATCTTACAGGCGGCTTCAAGCCTCGTCGACGGCGCTCTCGGTTTTACACATAATGAGCAGGAGCAGATACCCGACGGCCCAATTATCGATATCCCCAATCTTCGCAGACTCTTCACCGAACGCGGTGAATTTCTGGCTCGTCTGGCCGCGCCCCAACTGGAGTCTCTTTCCTGTGATCCAGTGCGCGAGACGATCCTGTTCGTCCAGCGCTCCTCTTGTCGTTTAACGACCCTAGTCATGGCAGACACCTCCCCATCGTTTGCGATGACGTCGGAAGCTGTCATTCTTCTCCTCCAACACACTCCAGTCCTCAAGAATCTGGTTTTACAGGCCAGCGCGTTGGACCAGGCAGCGAACCTGCGTGTTATGAGTGCGCTCACAATTACAGGTTCTTCTAGTGATCTCTGCCCCAACCTAACTTTCCTCGCTTATTGTGCCGCGTCGAGTGGTACAGGTGATTCACTTATCGCCATGGTACGCTCGCGCCGTCAGCCCGATCGCCTTTGCCAGCTGTCTTCCCTGCGCGTATTCTTCAGTTCGCCGGAGGACGCGGTAGACGTGCTGGATGTGATACAAAGGCTGATCGCCGAAGGCCTTGTTGATCTCAAGATTATTCACG